TTTGGTCTATATGGACCAAATAGACCGTTCCCTAGCTTGTCGTGCATTCTTTCCAAAAATCGGGACTTTTTTTAAAACGCCAAAAATCGGGACTGTGCCGCCAAAAGCGGGACGTCTGGTGAGGTCAAAGCAGAACTCCGTGGTTACCTACTTCTGCACCCGGCCTTCACGAACCCAAAACCCGACCAGTGGAACGAAGAGGGTAGACTTTCCATCTCCTACGATGTGACTTGTCCAGCTCCATTTCTTCATTTGTTCCCTGGAGAAGATGCGACATGATTTGAAGGTGGGAGGAATAAAAGTCCAAAGTTTAGTGATTCAATGTAACCGGGAAGTTACGCTACTTCCTCTTGCAGTATTGAAAAATGTGACATTGAAGAGACCACAAGAGGGCAGTCGGTTCTAGTAAGACTTTTTAAAAAGCAAAACCAAAAAACTGCCCCTACTCATTACTAACTGCCAAGTGGTCTTGTGGGGCTGGGAGAGGGCTAGAGGAGGAAGATGTGAATATTTCAAATCTATCCTTAGTAGTTATTCGTGTGAAGAGCCCTGGTGGCGTAATGGTTATACATTAGGCTACTACCTGCAAGGCCAGAGGTTCGCAACCACTATCCACTCCCAAGGGAGAGAGATGAGGCTCTACTCCCATAAAGAGTTACAGTTCTATCCTGCCCTATAGGGTCATTATGAGTCAGAATCAACTCGATGGTAGTGAGTCTTTTATAAGTTATTAATGTACAGATTTTTTACAATGTGCTTACTTTACAAAAGAGGACCAAGGGTGTTCTAAATAAATCTCACCCATCTGTAAAACAAAAGGCCTGGAGCTTATATATAACAATAAAGCAATAGCAGAGTGAAGAAAAACAACCACAGACATAATGTGACCCGATGTCCCGCTTTTGGTGGGACAGTCCCGATTTTTAACAATTAGTCCCATGTTCTGTGTCATTTAAAAAAGTCCCGATTTTTGGAAAGAATGCATGACAAGCTACGGAACGGCAGGAGAATGGGAAAGGGGATACAGTGAACCCTCGCCACTTCGCGCTTCG